ATTCAAACTAACAATAAAAGTGTAATATGAACAAAAGGAATACAGTAAACTTAAAATAATAGCCTGCAGGCTTTTATTTTCCCATATCGTCGAAATGCAACAGCTTGTTTTTGAGACAGGCGTCTATGAGTCGGTCTTCATCATTTAGTGTTGAGATGTTGTTCATTGAGTCTCTGATCTCTAAAAATCTCCAAATGCTCCACGTGAAACTGCGGTCTTCCGACCTTTTACTATCGTGACAAATGATTTGAATAATATGCGGAGAAAGAGAGCAAAACAGCGCTCGCTTGTGTTGTTTGAAGACGTGAGTGCGTGCGGCCGCGGCACAACACATTTTCTGGAGGTATACTGCCCCCATCTGTTATGGAATATGGAATATTTTTTGATTTTTAGTTCCAGATGGCACCTTTAATGACACTGGAGCACCACAAATATTCAAATAAAAAAATCCCATGGGCGAACCCATGGGTTTAGGAATATAGAGTGGGAAATGTCAGCTTAAGATTAGCAAGGGTTAATAGTTAACCACAGGTAAATTGTGTAAAAGCAAGATAACCCAGGAATCCATTTGCCAGGGGTTTAGAATGGCCCAGGGTTAACTATTTCAAGTGTGAAAAGTCCCATATAGGAGTTAAAAAAAAAAAAAAAAAATCTTTTTAGTTACGCTATAGTTACACATTCAAAAAGTAGACTAATGCCCAGTTTCACAGACAAGGCTTAAACTAGTCCCAGACTAAAATGCATGTTTGAGCTGTTTTAACTGAAAGCAACTTGCTCTGACATGTTCTAAAATAGGCCTAAGTCAGTGTCATATATTATTTCATTATTACTTAAGGCACGTTTATAAAAGCTACGCAAATGTCCTTTAACTAAGGCCTATAGTCATAGCTTAATCTAAGCAGTGTCTGTGAATCTAGGCCTACTAAATTTAAATGTTTAAATCTATACCTCCCACATCTACACAACAATTTACATAAATACATTTAGGCTTCTTATATGCTGCCATGATGAAGCAATAATGTTGCACAGGGACCTGATTTTATTAATCAGTCAATCATTTTTTAACCTGTTCATTTATATGAAACATTCAAATAACTCCAAAACAGTAATGCCGCCCTCACGCCATGGTTGGTGACTTTAATAAATTGGCAAAATGTAAGGAGGAAAGGGCTCAAAGAGTCCAAACTAAAGGGAAACTGCATTTGATCAGATACCGTCAAGTGAAGTTATATCCAAGATAATGTGAATAGCACTCCGCAAATAGAGACCTTCCTGCTCGCTCTCGCTTGCCTATTATAGGTCAACGGTGGTTCAGATAAAGACCAGGCTTAAGAGACAAGTCTCTGTCATTCAGAGTGACAGGACCACAATCAGTTGAAGAAAGGGCAGTATAAATTGCAGGGGTAGAGGACCAAAACACAGGCATGGTCAGAACTTAAATATTATGTCAGGCTTAACATGAGCTCTTCAATCAATGTAGCATCCTGCTAATACCTTTAGCCACTGTAAGCATGACTTAAATTCCCTGAAGGGCTCAGACTGGACTTAAGATCAGACTCTAATTACAGCTGCTGTGTGTGTTGACCCCATTCCCTGTCCCAGTCTCATAAGGTTCAGTAACATTTAAAGACATAATAATGCAACTGTGGATCTCCGTATTTTGTAATACCACCACCTAATTTCTAAACCAAAAGGCACGGCAGCAGTGCCATGGGCAGTGTTGTGCCTGAACGCGTTCAATGAACGATTCATGAACGCGTTCATATTTTGGGCAACGTGAACTGAACGTTCTGTATTACTGCCTGATGAACGTTACTGTGAACGCACGCTCTCTCAGTTTAGCTTCGTACAATAGGGTGCCAGATTTCTATAGAGCCTTAATATGTAGCGAAAAAACACCCAATCAGGCAACACAAGACACCAGTGTCGCACCGCGGCCGCTGGCGACAAAGCAGCGAGCGAGGAGACGTCGTATGACCATTTAAACGGCGAGGTCGGTGAGGATGGGAAAAATCGTACATTTCTGTGCAAACTTTGGCTGTCGATAAAATAATTTGTTGTCTGTGGTTTGTTATGGTTATGGAAACATATGGAAAAAAAGAACTATGAATGAACTAGTTCATTTTTTGAAGTATGAATGAACTGAACTAGTTCATTTTAAAATGTGTGAACTGAACTTTGAACTAGTTCATGTAGAAAGTGAACTTTCCCAACACTGGCCATGGGACAGAGATCATATCAGGTACTAAATGGTAAGCATTTGCATGTACCTTGGTATTTAGACGATATTCCAAAGTAATTAAAACAATATCCTGGAATTACCATGGTACTTGTTTTTGCTAGTGTTGATAGTTACCTAAATCAATATTTAAAAGGTGTCATAGATGGCAAATGAAACATATGCAAATAATCAAAAATGTCATGTGATATAACCATCAAGTAAAAAGAAATAACACATTTTCCTTACACCTTGAATATGTGTGTGTGTGTAGACATCTTGAAATAATAATTTTCAAAAAGGTTTAAAATATATTTTTATTTTTAAATATGTTTTACTAATTCCTTTCGTAACACTTTACAATAAGGTTTCATTTGTTAACATTAGTTAATGTATTAACTAACATGAACTAACCATGAGCAATACATTTATTGATGTTTTTGTTCATCTTTTAACAAATAAAACTTTTGATTTTAATAATGTGTTAATAAATGTTGAAATTAACATTAACTACTGAAGAGGGCCTATAAGTACTAATGTAGTTAAAGGGATAGTTCACTTTGAAATAAATTTTTGATATGTTTTAGCTTACCTCAAGGATATCCAAGATGTAGGTGTCTTTGTTTCCACAGTATTTTCAATTTTGACATTTTTTGGTCAAACCGTTCGTGTCTGTCAGTAATACACTGGAGGTGAAGGGGGTCCTCAATCGGTTCACCTCAAAGAGCAGCACAGAGAAGTCAAAATTAAACATGATTTAATGACTCGTACATGTAAGTACACATTGATGGCCTAAGACACGAAACAAGAGGTTTGTGTGAGAAAACAAACAGTATTTATATCGTTTTACCTCTTGTAATCATAGCCATGACAAAATGATCTGACGGCACGGGCGCTTCGGTCTGCGCATGTGCCGGAAGTGATCGCTTGCGCGCCTACGTCACTCTTTGTTTATACAGAGATTTCGGAAGTTTTACCGTTCACTAAACATATTTAGATATACGGGAAACAGCAATGGAAGACGATTTTGGTATATCTAAATATGTTTAGTAAAAGGTAAAACTTCCGAAATCTCTGTGTAAATATAGAGTGACGTCACATGCAAGCGATCACTTCCGGCGTAACATTGAACTGATTCAGTTAGATTCAGTTGGACATTGAACAACTGATTCAGATCACTGTGATTACACGAGGTAAAAACGATATAAATACTGTTCGTTTTCTCACACAAACCGCTCGTTTCGTGTCTTAGGCCATCAATGTGTACTTACATTTACGAGTCATTAAATCATGTTTAATTTGGACTTCTCTGTGCATGCTTTTGGACCCCCTTAGCCTCCAGTGTATGACTGATAGACAACAACGGTTTGACTGAAAAATGTCAAAATTTAAAATACTGTTGAAACAAAGACACCTACATCTTGGATGCCCTTGAGGTAAGCTAAAACATATCAAAAATTAATTTCAAAGTGAACCATCCCTTTATCTAATGAAACCTTATTGTAAACTTGAATCGGTGTTCCCATTCATTTATTTAAAAAAAGTAAATTAATTACTAAATACGAATTATTAATTCATAAATATCGTTACATTTCTGAGTACAACCACGAGACATTTCACAACTCGATTGTCATAAAAGCCAAATTTTAGGACTAACAAACCTTGACACATCATAATGGTTTACAGGGGTCCTCTCAATTTCATTATTTTATTGAGTCATTATTTTTTTTTTACTTTGCGTGCCCCAAAACATAATATAACATTATGTTCGTCATAGAAGAGGTGTATTTAAGTTTTATATTTATAGAATAATATTCATATATAATTAATATTTTTTGAATAAATTAATAGATCTGCCTAAAAAATTGTCGTTGACCCTATGGTATGTTTAAGGTCTACCCAAAACTCAACATGGATCAAACAGGATTAACTGCTGAACAAACAGTGTGTGCTTGTGTAGGTGTCAACAGTCACAGTGCAAAGTGCATTGGCTCACATGTTATTTCTGTCTCTGAAACCAAAAGCTAAGGGGAGGGCTGAGCATCCCAACTCACAAGCACATTCAGATATACTGCGGGAGCTATTTTAAAATCCTCTGCTAAAGTCGAGGAACCGTCGAGACAGGGTTATGACTGCAAATGAAACACTCCATACAATGTTCATAATAATGTTTTTGAAAGCAGTGTGTCCACTCTTGCAGAAGCTATATACTTTTGATTTATAGGCTAATTGGGTTTGTATTTGACATACAAAACCACAGGAGGAAGGTGGAGACTTGTGGTCTGCAGTGGTCCTTTCTGAAGTATTGTGAACAACTACACCATCTGCATTAAAATAAATGGGTGAAACTATAAAAGCCTTAAAGTAATAGCCAACGTTAAGATAGATGGGCTAACTCTAGCAGATGTAGAGTCGCTTCCACTGTCTATTGATGTTTCCTGAAATATTGGGCCATTACGTCCACTGTGTAAGGTTGCACAGCAGTAACCAATTCAAGTGCATGCTGCTCTCCACAGGGAGAGCGAAATAATCCACTTCTAACCCGGAGAATATGTTTGATAGGAATCTCTAGCAGGTCGGTCCTCAGCACACTCAAATCTGCTGCTAATTCAACCGAATGCATCAAACACGCATTATATTTTTGATGCTTTTCCTGAACCAAAGACAATCCAGAAGAACATGATATTATAGGACCTATTTCCCAACAATCACAACGGATGCTTTCCAGCAGTATACCAATGAACATGAATCCACATCAGTAAAAAAAAAAAACACACGTTACCTTTGATCCATCCAAGCTGATGATCCTGTACACGTTCCTGGTACTGTCATAGAAGTAAGAAACAGTGACCGCATGTTTGCTGGTGGGCATCCAGTTCTTCTTAGTGCTGGGGTCTATCTGGAAGACGTGTGCCCGGGTGCTGTAGATGGGCTGTTCCCTGAAAGGTAGGAAAAAAAAGTGGTGAACTTCTTTGTGCCTGAGCACCGTTGTCTCTCCGATTCCACCAGGCGCGCTGGAACGTCCCGGTAGACGGATCACCATTTCTTCAGCCTCCATCTTGCTGCTGATCACCACTGCTTGAACCCAGGTATAAACCTGGGTCTTACCTAAGCAGTCAGACACATTGGTGCCCTGCTAACAGTGCAAGGCGACCATTCAACGCCCTGCTGATATGGAAATGCCAGCTGTTTGGCTGGGGCAGTGTGGGACGGACACTAAATATAGTCAGGGTCGCAGTAATCTGCGCAGTCCCACCCCTACTGACCTGATCTTTGCTGTTGGAAGTTGGAAGTAGCAGGGCTCTTTTCCTAGACACCCTAGCTAAATTTGATTATCACACATAGACAAAGGTAATGTAATTAATAGATCAACTAATGTACATTTCTTTTAGTCTAAGAGCACGGGTGGAATTTCATAAACATCCCAGCCAAGTTCTTCAATGCTACATTTCATGGTTTGATAGTTTGATAGTTTACACAAAAATCAAAATCGTGTCATCATTAACTTTTCAAACATGTTTTCAAAAGATTTTGTCCATACAATGAAAGGGTCGAAAACAACACTGGACGCTATTGATTTTCATTGTATGAACAAAAACAACACTGGGACTTTCTTTTATGTTTCACAGAAGAAACAAAGTCATACAAGTGGAGGTTTGAAACAACGTGAGGGGCAGTAAATGATGACAATTTTCATTTTTGGGTGGACTATCCCTTTAAGCAATTAATCACCTTGGAGGCCATGCACAGAGAAAAGCGAAGGTCAGTTTTGTGAACGTTATCATCACTTTGGGCAACAAAAAAACAGAAAAGAATGTGGACCACAAGCAGGAAGGAATAATCACTCTAGTCTAGAATAATAGGCAATCATTGCTAAAGAGAACAAAAGAAACCCGGAGCTGGAGTCAGATGAGCTGCCTCACTCTGAACTTTCTCATTCTTCTAAACACAATTACAGATTTATCCTCATTCAAAGTGATACATACATGTCATCAGCAATTAATCGGCAATTAGCATTCACATGGCAGAAATTCTCACTAAGGTTCAAATCATGAGGTATAATAAACTAAAAATGAACATTTTTTACAGCATTTATTAATATCAGTTTACATTTTCAGGTAAACATGAATACATTTCCATTATTGAGAGAGTACATAAAAAGAAAAAGTGTTCAAAGTGTTTTTTTCACACCCTCATTTACTAAAGTTTACAATGTTGATTTGTTTTAGTGATAGATTTCAGAATCATTTCAGTAGCTAAGTAAAAAAAAAAAATACAAAAAACAACAACAGCGCAAGTAACTTGCATAGAGTTTTATGTTTTAACCATAGAGATAGAGGTCTAATATCATTAGTGTACCTGCTTTGGCTTATGCTTAGTTAAAAAGTCACAATGGAATAACAGTAATGACAGATCTTTTCTTCTGTTTTGACTTACATTCGCATGTAGGACGGGTACCTGGTTCTATACATTTGGTTGTTGATTGGATTTTGAGATGTGGGAGTTGCAGTCAAGGGCGGAGACAGATAAACATGAGCTTTAAACAGGCTAACTGATTGGAGAAGTCCTACATATGTCACCAGACAGACGTCTGAGGTCCAGTTATAACATTTTGATTTAACATTAACAGTTTCTTAAATGAAGCACATGCACAATAATAGAAAAAAAAAGAAAATAATAGAAAAAAAGTGGAATCTTGGAAACAAAAAAATCATTACTAATGAATTCATGCACTATTGTTAATTCATCCTTTATAATTTATCCAGACAAGTAGAACTTAACATTAGACCAATATTTAAGTTCTGTGATTCATGGTGATTTCGTGTTAGCTACTGCAAGTTTAAAATATTGTATCTGACCCCCCAGCGTGAGTCTATTAAAGGGGTCATGAACTGGCTTTTTAAATTTTAATTATATTGTTGTCTGAGGTCACCTTTTTTTTCACGTTCGTTTAGTTTTTACATTCAAAAACATCAAAATGAATAAGTAATATGCTATTTTCTACCCTAGTTTTGAGCCTAGCTCAAAAACGCTCGGTTTTTATGGCCGTCTCGCACTGAAGACTTGGAAGTAAATGCCCTCTGCTGTGAGTGGATAACAGTTTTTCATATTATAATGAGTTTCAACTCACTCGTCGGTGCATGTGGGGGAAATTGTTTTGAAAACGTCCAATGTTGTAACAGTACTCAGTGCTCAGTAGCTCGATCTGGTTTGTCATCACGAGGTAGGCCTCTGATATTTAGCTATGCGTGTAATGCCGAATCGGTGGGCGGGGCTAAACCGGCCGTGTTGAAGTAGGCGTTGATCTTCTTCTGCGGGGGTGGTGTTTTATCCTCTTTGACGTCGTAGTTCCCCACTTTGAAAAACGAGTCGTTTGCTGAGGCTGGTGTCAATAAAAGCTTTTATTTGACTAACAAGGACGTTTTCAGTTCTGAAACTTAGAGGATATTCTTATAAAATGATGACCTCTTAGATGTCAAAAGCTCAAGGAAAATTTGATTTCTCAGTTCATCACCCCTTTAAGGCGACCATTATTTTCACTGACGCATCATGCTTGTCATGTGACACCAAAGCTCAAAAGCACGTTTGAATTTAGCAGTTGATCATGTGATGCACTGAACGCTCCAATCACACCGGGTTAACAACACGGTATTAAAGTACAGAACCTCATTGTAAAGTGTTATTGGACAAACAGTATTCAAAAGATCATTATAGAAACAACTAACAATTACATCAGGCTCAAAATTATTGACAATCCCAGCTTTATCTCTGGATACATAGATCAGGTGTGATTGGGCTAGGAGGGTTGGCCTATATGGGAAGTTCACTAATACCCTTCAAGTTTCAGGTAAAGAGATGCTTTGCTTCAAAAGCCAAATCCAAAAACAGAGGGAAGCCCACTAGTATAGCCTGCTCATTGACCCATCCCCAACATACTACTCCAAAAGCAACTGGCCTCAAATCAATGTCAAAGGGCATATGTCCCCACTACTGTATGCGCAGTAATCGGCAGATGGAGCTTTTCCATGGCATTCCCATACCCTACACTCCTCTGACCCAATTCCACAGATAACACCCTTCAAATCCTGGGAAAAAATCCAATTCAATCCCAATTTAATATTTTACCCATCTTATTAAAAACATAGGATCAGAAGCGGGAAGTATAATGGGGGAAAGGGGGAAATATAACAAACATAGACGGTTTGTTGCTCCTATTCCCAGGATAATCAATCACCATATTACATTAGCGTGCTTCTAATCAGCTGCTGCTGGGTTGATGTGCAGGAATGAGAGAATTTGAGAAGGAAAAGGAAGGAAAAGAGAAGGAAGAGGAGCAGCCTAGGGATAGCTTAAGTGAGGCGAAGGAGAGAGAGAAATGCGGAGTACGGAGAAGTGCTTACGCTGCACCGTGGAGGCGGAAGATCTCTGAAGAGCATCAAAGGCTTGTTGCATAATTAGCATTTAAATTCTATTAAAATGCAGTTGCATTCACCATACACGGGTGCTTCACATGACATCACATGCTTCCATAGGGTCATAACCATTTAAACTGTATAGTACCTTAAAATGTTTATATTTGTGTATATAACCCACAAATACTTTTTCTCTATTCTCACTCAAACTTATGAAGAACTGCATTAAAGACACCCTTAGGGAAATAATGAAACTGTAAATGGACTGGAGCATATTGCTACATTATTGCAGTTGACTATTTTATTTCTGATTATGGTTCAAATGTATTTGCTTATGTACGTGTTTTAGGTTCCATTTTCTATAATACATGTTCTCATATTGTTGTTATAATTATGGTGTGGCAAACGCATATATATATATATATATATATATATAAAATGGCAGCTGTGGTTGCCAGAACTTTACCGTTAAAATACAATCAAAACATTAATGGTTTTACAGACTTAAAAACTTAAAATTTACAGTAATAAACCATATTTCATTATCTGATAAAATGTTGATATACCAAAATTTTGAAAAATTGATATCTGTTTTGTAACATAGTAATACACTATCATATTAGTATTAAATAGTATTAAACATGAATTTTTAAAAAAAATGCAATAAACATTAATTTAACAAGATTAAATGTAACATAAAACCCTAATGTACATAACTGATTAGAAAAAAAAATTACAAAACTATGAGGAACCATAGTACATAAACAAAAATACATAAAATGTGAAGTGTCACACAATTGTGGGAATGTCAATTTATGAAAAAGTTATTCTTTTTCACTTTCAAAAACTGTAAATTTAATGCTATTTTACAGTAAAAATATATCACAGTTATTTATCGTATATAGTACGAAAACTTTCTGTTAACCAATTAACAGTTTTGCACTGTAGCGTTTTTACGGTCACAGTCTTTTACTGTTAAAATCACGATTATTTTTTACATTATAAATATGTGCGAGCACACACACACACCTTTACACACACACACACACACACACACACACACACACATATATACACGGAATGCTATTACAATTTAAAACATTTTTTATTTAATTTGATATATATCAAATTAAATAAAAAATGTTTTAAATTGTAATAGCATTCCGTGTTGCTAAAACTAAATATGAAATGCATAAATTATATAATGTACTTTATAATAGCTTCATCATTTCCATGCAGTAATGAAATGAAAATGTGTTGTGTCTTGTATAAAAAAAGTATTTTTATGTATTTGAGCAGTGTACAAACTGTCACCCTAAATGTTTATGAAAACACAAACCCTAAGAGCAATCTGAGAAAATGTGAATATTACAAGCCTTTATTAAACTATTTTGAACAGACTGATTGTAGAATCCATTGGATTCAACAGTCAAAAGTATCTTAAACCCAAGACTGTCCGATGTTAAATGTGATATGGTCAATTATATAAGGAATCAAAAGCAGACAGCTCTGTATTATCATAAACGGTGTTGATCTCACACCACCCACCTTCAACAACCCACCTCCAAACAGAGCTAACAACAGTCATTTTCATTTTCAACATCTGTCTTTCTGACCAAATAATAGAGCATCAATACCTTCTGCCACACTTCAAACAGCATGTACAGGAAGTGGACATACATGGATAAGAAGCTATTTTGTTAGTTACATAACCTGGTTAGCGTGGTCAAGCTTGACTTTGAAAAAGTGCAATCATACCATTCATCCATCCTAATAAGCAAAATAAGCCAATTGGATCACTTTTCATTTTGCAACAATGCAGATTTGAGAAATCACATTATGAGGAAAATGTTGAGAAGGCCTATTACTCCCACTACTGCCTTAACAACGGCTGTTTGGTAATGTTAGCAAACCGCTTAACAGCCAAACACTTTATAGCATGTAATAAATTGAATTGTGTGCCACTGAATTGAGTAGGAAGTAGGAATGGTTTTCTCCAGAGTAATATACTCCCAGAACAGCCCTTGAATCTTTCAACGGTTATAATTTAATTAAGAATGAAGAAGAGGGAACTTAAAGCAATTCAAGTTAAAACATAAATAAATTAGTATATGGAAAAGATCCATCCATTTCAATTGAAAAGATGATCACTTGCAGACATTGATATCAAAGACAACCCAGGGACAAATTTTGAGATTCTAAATAATACCAATGGTGAAGATATTGGGTCATATAGACCAGAACAAACTGTAAGCAGAAGACCATTTAAGACTGAATAGCCATGCATAGGGTCACCTTTATTTAAAATCTATATTTCAGATCAATCTCCAGCTGAGCTTTGGAAATTCCACTAGCATGTACAGATATATCAGATGCCATTGCCAATGTTGGCTCCAAAATTGTATTGATGAGGCTGTGCCATGCAGCGGTGCTCTGCTGAAATGTAGATTACATAAGCATGACGAGATTAAAGGCCTTTGGCACTGCAGCACATCAGTATATGAAATTAGCCAATGTTCATTCTCATTCAGAGTATTCTTGTTATCATTTGCCTAAAAATAATACACGCAGCTAACCAACAGACTGTGGTCTCAGTGGTCAAAAATGGTCGACCCAGTGAATGAAGAATAAACGATTAATTTAAAGTGTTCGCAAAATATGAGTGTAGCCTACACACTCACATAATAGTGTGTGTGTTTGTCTGTGGGTTTTAAAAAAACTGTATCACTATTATCACATAACGCACAGAAATACATTAAGCATTATAATTCAGTACAAATTTTCATGCACACTATTAAGCACACTTAAGGCGTTCATGAACATGACTAACTGCCCTGTCCTCATAAGACCGGTGGTAAAACCGTCAGGCTCTGCGCTGCCAATTCCTACAGTAGCCTATGCGTTTTGCTATTTACATGCAACTTACCCCATGTTGATGTTTTTCCCTCCCGAGACGAGATGCGATTTGTGCTATTTACAAGCAACTTACCCCATGTTGATGTGTTTTCCCTCCTGAGACGAGATGCGTTTTGTTGATCACCGAGTTCCTTCTTCTGGCTGAATGTAGAAGCTTTGGATGCGGCGCGCGCGGTCAGTCACATTATGAGCAGCGGCATTCTGCGTCTCTCATTACGCGCTCTGTATGTAGGCTGTCAGATGCACTAAACGAATCCCACTGCGAATAGCCCACCAATACTGCCCAATTTTAGCTAGTTTGCAAAACGACGAGCTCACCTCGCGTCTCTGCGGTAAGTGTTTTTGAAGAGCGCGAGGTAACGGTGGCGCTGGGGTGAATAAAGAGCCGCTGCCTCTCTCTCAGTGGGCGTGTGTGAGTCTCCAAAGATGAATCTGCTGTCAGTCGATGGTCATAACACATACCACACAATATCCCACAACAACGCCCCCTGGCACGCTCTCCTCCCATTAAAAAAACACTTGCCACTTTTTCATCTTGGGATTTTAAGGCAATCATCATGATTCACGTTAATTAGCCCATTTCCTTGTCGTAATTGAATTGAAATGTAAATAAAATTAAATCACTGGTTTTTAATATTTGTTTTTAAAAATCTCTTAAAGGGATAGTTCACCCAAAAATTGAAACTTCTATCATCAATGGGCTATGCACGGCGGTATTTCCGGTGAAGGATTAAGGATGCTCGATAACTTCCGCCGATCGTAGAGTCCAATGCAATACCGAGAATTTATATTGAATTTTATACTCCATGGTTATACTAAAGAAACGTTAGTCACAAAAACAGATAAAACAGACACCCCTTATGCTTCTTTTTAAAATTATATTAAATAAACATAACTATAAAACATCTTCGTATGTACGTTTCGTTTCAAAGACTGGAGGACAGTAAATTTTGAAGACTCTGCCATAATCCCGTTTTCCTCGGTTCTCCTCCGCTGTAATCTCCACAACCGGAAATGGACGAGCATCCTTGCGTCAGATGCGGAACTTATGCGTGCATATAGCCCGTTGACAGCACTTCCTGATTTTGTAGCCGGAAGTCAAGGGCCCATCAACTGTTTGGTTACCAACATTATTTAAAATATCTTCTTTTGTGTTCAGCAGAAGAAAGAAATGTATACAGGCCTGGAACTACATGAGGGTGAGTAAATGATGACAGTGTTTTCATTTTGGGGGAACCATTTAAAATATCAACACATCTTATGAGAAATGAAGAAATGAATTATCTGGTGTTCTTGATTCTGGACATATGTCTTTTCCTCTCTGTCTTCCTCACTTCTTGTCAATAACAAAACTAGCAAATGAGCTGTGTTACATGAATTATCGCAGCCATAGGCAGTGGGCCATAGGGTGAACACAGTCCTGCTGATATACAACAGCATTGTAATGTTGCTTTTAAACAACAGTTCACAAAGCAAGAGGTAATATCTGTGTTTCAAAGAAAAAATGTGGATGTTAGCTTTGTAGGCTATATTTCTTCTCTGCAGAAACCCACTCAGTTTGAGAGTAGCAGAGAAAAATGTCCCAACTTTCAGAAAACCCTCTCTTCACTTCAGGCAAATCCACTCTACTTTCATTTCCACTTGCATAGTCTGGAACACAGTGAACAAAGAATTCAGTTAAAAATGGAATGCGGTAAACAAAGAGCACAGTGGAGCGTAAAACACTGTGAACATTGAACACAGTGAAAACCGCCAATGCTACATAACAGCACTGGGATATGGAGGCCCAACCTAACTAAAAATGAATGAATGAATAAATAAATACATACATGTAAAATAAATAAATTAATAAATAAATTACTATTTATTCTTTTATTTATATTTGTATTTTTGTATGACCTCGCTAATGATGTTAAAACTTGTCTTTTTTTTTTTATATATGCATCTAACAAATGTTTTAACTTGTTGCACTGACGGTGCATGCTATTTGCTGCTACTGCCTGGGCGTATAAATATGTTGTTTTTCAAAACACATTTTTAGATTCTATTTTACATTCTAATAATTCTTGTCTATTGAAGCTATGCTGCAGCAGACAAATACAGCTGTATTTACATGAAACTTTTAAATGTGTACTTTCCCTAGGGTGCCTTTGTACAACTGGCAAACGGGACTACAGATGAAAACTAGCCCTTGGCTAACTCTGGCATGTTACAGGTGTACTGTTGTTAATATGCATTGTCCTGGTAAATAAATAAATAAATAAATAAATAAAAAATGTTTTTCCCTTTTTATGTATACTTATACATTTTCCCACATTTATTTATTTATGCATTCATTTATTTCCACTTTTATTTATTTTCACTTTTATTCATGTAATGCATTTATGTCTACATTTATTTATTTAGAAATATATTTATTTTTTAAATTTATTTATTTATTCATTTATTTATACATTGCTCTCTATGCTAATGAGGGGGGCGTGTTTTACCTCAGACATAGCAGACATAGTGGCAGTGCTGAAGCTTTGAGGCCACAGTGACACCTTGTGGTGAGACCAAACACTACGCAAGAGGTTTGTAGATGTGCCTTTACAGGTGTTACAGGGAATAAATTACTTAGAGGCTTGAAATATGGACAAAATCTTATATCACAAATCTTTTGCTTAGTGTTTGGTCTCACCACAAGGTGTCACTGTGGCCTCAAAGCTTCAGCACTGCCACTCTGAGGTCGATTGCTATGTCTGAAATAAAACATGCCCCCCTCATTAGCATACAGAGCAATAAATCAATAAATATATAAATGTATAAATAAATTCATTTATAAATAAATAAATAAATGTAGACGTAAATGCATTTATACACAAATAAAAGTGAAAATAAATAGAAGTGGAAATTAATAAATGAATAAATAAATATATAAATAAATAAATAAATGTGGGAAAATATATAATTATACATAAATAGGAAAATATTTGTCACAACGGCAATAATGAGTTTATAATATGCTTTTCAAACAGAGCAACTACTGTAGTGTAATTGCTATAAAGAAAGTAAGTTTAAAAAATATAGCCTACAGCAATAATAAGAAAGAAAAAAGCAGAGAAATAAATTGGCAAATTTTGAACTTTGAGAAATGAGCTCTGTAATTTATGCTGTAGAAGCAATGTTCAAGTAATGTTTACCACAGGCCAAGGAAGGACAGGAAGGAAACCAATGACAATTAGCCATCAGTGTTCACTTACAAATTAACCTCACGGTAAAACATAATATTTTCTTTTTTAAACATAAATTATCTCATTAATTATATTTTAGTGTTTTTTCTCCCATCCCAAATATTGCTGGGATTGCACGGGACTTTTATTTTGAAAACACAGGCTCGCGTGCGGCGTGCGCAATAACCCGGAAACAGAGGATTGGGTGTTTTGATATTTTTATACACGCTTGTTCTTTTCTCTCTTACTAAATCTGCCTTCCACACTGGTGAGTTTCTTCGGCTATTATTACATAGAATAATAATAAAGTTATTATAAATATTTTACAGTTGGTCTATGGTCTTAAACATATATTCTAAGCTAGCAAATTGCTATTATTGCTAAGTTAGCGCTCGTAGGCTAACTTAGTTGCGTGATTTTAATTATTATTATTTTTTTGTTACTTAATTTGATCACGCGCCATATATAAGTGATTTCCCACTGTAATTTGTTTGGGTGTCGTTCACTTTACAATAAACATTGTAACATTTATAATAACAGATACAATGGTTAAAATAACAAATATAATACAATCTGTTTTCAGACATCTGTTTATTTGTTTAGATATTTTTTGTGAAAGTGCAAGCAGTAACCTTAGATGTTTGCTCGGGCTGAGGAGGAGGATGTTCCCTAGAGCTTACGTCTTCTCCCATAAAGATGGGCAATCTGAACATTTATTCCAGCACATTCTACCTCACACTCAGCAACGGAGATCTGAAGGCCATCTAAATGTAACAAAGTTAGTGATCAGTAAAATGACATTGGTTGTGTGTTTAAAATTCTTGATATATTCTATGAATTCATTCAAATTAATTCTGTGTCTATCACCTTAGCTTCAGTGGTCCACCAATGAATGTTCCTCATTTTATTCCAACTTTCCAACGGACCCCAGTGGTACTGCCGGATGTCCATTGCAGTCCAAACAGAGTAACAGGAAGCAAAAGAAAGTGAGCAGCGTGACCACAAACCACTGGAAATTCTTCTTGCTCATCTGTATTTAAATCAATGGGATGTTTTAAATTCTCTGCCTAATAAGCAGCATGTCTTTTACTGTGCCAGGAGACAAAATCACAGTCAGTATGACCTGAAGAAACAGCGCTTCAGTTCTCCGGGTCCTTGCAACCAACCTGCCAGAAATGCCAACTTTGCCTCCCAACCGGTGGCTGGACCAGTGATGGGCAGAGACGCTTGTAATTCTAATATCAGTGTCCCCGCATACTCATCTCCCACCTCTAAACCAGGAGGCTGTGTGCCATCTTTGAGAGAGGGATCCCATCAGAACACCTTAAACCCATCTTCAGTTAATGATAAGGTGAATATGCAGATAAAAGCCATAAATTCGGACTGACTTACACTCTTAAACTCCAGGTCTTCTTTATTGGCATTAATGGTTCCAAGATCCTTTATCATCCAGGAAACCTTTCAATTGCACAAAATGTTCATAATAGTGAAAAGAGTTCTTTAGATTATTAAAATGTTCTCTTCAAAAATAAGAACTGTTGACTGAAAGGTTCTTTTGGAAACCCAGAATGGTTCTTCAATGGCATCTTTTGGAACCTTTATTTTGAAGAGTTTAGTTATATTCTCTTTATTTGAGGCAGAGTGTTGACTAGAGATGTACATTTCTTTTCACAAGTACATATATTTATTGTTCTTTGCCCACAGCTAAGTCAGCAGATTCTCGACCTGTTTCAAGCTTGTGAGCAACAGAGTGATGATCTGGAGAAGAAGGAAAATTGTCGAGCATTGTTGCAGAGGGATATCCGGACAATCTTCCCAGGTACATTACACAAATTTTTCCAGAAATTATGATTGGGATCTTCTCTAGCCATAGGTGTTAGATGCATCCATCATGAAATTGTTCTCCATCTCAGTCTTTTCTCTACTTTTGGTGTAGGTGCACGAGTCTTCTTGGGCGGGTCATCTCTAAATGGCTTTGGTAGTCGCACCAGTGATGCTGATCTTTGTCTTGTCTTTGAAGACGGAATGGTAAGTGTATTCTAGAGGACGAATGCTTTGTGTTTGCGTTCTGTCCAAATAGTTTCTATAATAATTGTTCGGGCTTTACTGTCTTAGATTTAACTCTCTACACACTCCTCCGTAGGAAAACAGCAGAACAGATGCAGTATATGTTCTTAGTCTTGTGAGGAAATTGTTTTACAAGCTGTGTAAGTGTTTTGCCATGAATTTGTCTACAGTAGTTTCATGTTCTATTCACAATGGCTTTGTTAGTTCACTAATATGGCAATGATTTCTGTTTCACAGCTTACATTGACAGGCCTCTGCTCATCAGGGCCAAAGTGCCCATTCTAAAGTTCAGGGACAGAGTCAGGTAAGTCCTTTAAACTTTTGTGTCTTGTACATTACCGTTTAAACAATATTTTTTAAAGAAATGTATAGTTTTATTTAGCAAGGATGTATTAAATGGATAACAATGACTAAAAACTTTTATATTTACAAAAGGTTTCTTTTTCACATAAATGCTGTTCTTTTAAACGTTTTATTCATCAAATAATACTGAAAATGCCAACAACAAAATTAAGCAGATTAAGCACAAATATAAAACATTGATAATAATCAGAAATGTTTTTTGAGCACCAAATCAGCGTATTAGAATGATTTCTGATGGATCATGTATGGAAGCTTGTTTCCGCCACAGAATAAAACATTTTAAAAGACAATTCTGACTTTATTTCTCAGAATTGCGTGTCATTATTTCAAAATTTCAAGATATAAACTCAGAATTGTGAGAAATAAACTTGCAATTTGGACCCCCCCACTATTGCAAGTTTAAATCTTGCAATTCTGACCTTATAACTCGCAATTGCGACTTTATATCATGCGATTCTGAGAAAAGTCAGAATTGTGAGATCAAAAAAGTCACAATTACTTTATACATTTTTTATTCTGTGGTGGAAACCAACTTCCATAATCATGTGATACTGAATAAATGTTTTAAATGTAATTCAATTGAAAACGGTTATTTTAAGTTGTAATATTAGTTGACCGGTTTACTGTTCTATTGTATTTTTGATCAAATAAATGCAGCATTGAGCATAAGAGGAACATTTAAAAAGTCTTAATCCACATTTTTGAAAACAAAAGTTCAATACAACAGCTAACCACAGTTTTTCTGGAATTCTATTGCATACAGTGGTGTGGAGTTTGACTTGAACTTCAACAACACTGTTGGTATCAGAAACACCTTCTTACTGCGGACGTATGCATATGGTAAGTTCAGGATTCTGTGCTAAATTGAGATCTTTGTGAAAATATTTACATTTTCTGGTTTTGTATTTATTCCAGTCGAAAAACGTGTTCGCCCTATCATCCTTGTAATAAAGAAATGGGCCAATCACCACTGCATCAATGATGCCAGCCAAGCAACGCTGAGCAGCTACACACTGGTTCTTATGATCCTGCACTACCTTCAGAGTAAGTCTTTTTTGGGGGGGATTGTTAAGATCTAATGCTCTAAACTATTATTATAAGTACCAAATCTGCAATTTTAGAAGCTCTCTTATTATGCTTATCTGTTTTTGTTCTGTTTTGTTTTAGCTCTTCCTGAACCTGTCATTCCATGCCTTCAAAGGGATTATCCAGTGAGCAAATGGTCTAATAAACTAATGAATGAATGAATTATGCATACATTTTTTTCCTGCTTTTTAAATTCTTTCTGAAACCACTTCTTCCAGGAGTGCTTCAACCCTAAGATGGACATTCATCTTGTGCCGAGTGGACCAAGCAATATCCCGGCCTTTGTGTCTAAAAACCAGTCATCCTTGGGAGACTTGCTCTTGGGTTTTCTGAAGTACTATGCCACTGTCTTCAAGTAAGTAACATTACTGATTTCATAGCACAAGTCAAACCTATATTTAGGGCAAAGCAAGAAAACATTCTAAAAATATCTACACTAGTAAGCTATTAAACGCATGTGAAAACTAGTTTTAGGTCACGCATTTTGTATCCCACCTGATTTACTTTGTTGTCTTTGAATTTGTAGTGCAATTGCATAATAATTGTCAATCAAATGCTTAATATTTCTTTTCTAGTTTCAAGTTTTTTAGCCAATGCCGCTAACAAAAGCTAACCTAAATCTAAGCCACCTGCAAGGCTCCTGTTTCATGTCACTTTGCTAGATTGACAACAGCAGGTGAACCTCTGCCTTTCCCTGGTCCAGATGGCCTGCTCTAATGTTCATAACACTTGATATGTGCATGTGCTTCTTTGAATAAACAAGTCTGAATGCAGTGACAAGCATATCTGTACGGTTCATTGTTATGTTTCCACAGATGGGATAAGCATGTGATCTCTGTGCGTGAGGCAAAAACTTTTCCCAAGAGCCGCGGCCAAGAATGGAGAGGGAAGTTCGTCTGTGTAGAAGGTACACATTCTCAGAATCTTTGTACATCATACACTCAAAGAATAACTTTTTATAAACGTTTATTTAGCCCTTAGAACATGAATATTTGTACTTTGTTTCAGAGCCATTTGATCGTACAAACACTGCCAGAGCTGTTCATGAGAAAGCTAAGTTTGATGCCATTAAAGCAGAATTTACAGAGGTAAGCCTCCTTATGTCAGTATTAAAATATAAATATATGTTTAATATTAAAATATAATACATTTTTAATACATATAATAAACTAAATTTGGGTAACTCTGTAAAGTCCCAAATAAATAAGCATGTCAGTGTTATACGGTATATTATTTCATGTATAATGCCATATGTAATTCTATAAAGGCTTTATAAAGAGTGAAATCTGAAAAACAAAAGTCTTCTTGTAGTATATGCATTTATGCTCCTTAATGCAAGTTTAGTTTTAAGAAAGCAAAAGATGTCTTGAGGAATGGGGAAATAATGAACCGGAATGTGTACATTTGCAGAAATATTTTTTCCAATCTTATTTGTGAACAAGGCCTCTTGCAACAGCACTGAGTTCATGTTTGGTAATGGAAGCTCTTTTTATTGATCATTTTTACAGTCCTACCAGGTTCTGAGGCTGAGAAAAGATCTCAACTCCATCCTGCCCCTCAAAAACACAAGACCAAAAACATAGCAAGACTTTAGGCTGCCCCCAGATAAGTAAGAATGAACATAGAGAATGGATTAAACCTGGAATCCCCAAATACCATCTTGACATTGTGAAAAGAAATGCTTTACTCTTTTACAAGGGCTTTTGGATATACTGAACCTTTTGGAATGTGTTGAGCCAAATCCAACAAGCTGATGGGGATTTTATCAGACCGACCCTGAGCATCAGTGTCTATGTTTGAGATGTACATGTCATGTAACATCAGAGACTGAGCAATATCTTTTTCCCATGTGGAATACAGTTAATATTCATTAAATAAATTTACTGTTGCAAAACGTTTATTTTGTGAGCAATTTTTGGTTTATTAGCCAATATAACCATTTTTTTTTTCAGAAAGAAAATTGTTTAAAATCGTGCTTTATGCACAACTGTTCTGTCTTTCTGATCTTTGTTTTCATCAAAACCCCCAAATTGTAAAAAAAAAAAAAAAAAAAAAAAGTTTCTGGCTAATGATTACGTTTACCCGAACCTTTACAGTAATGGGTTTCCTGTTTATGTTCCGTCTATGTTCTGTTTGTATAGTTGTATGTACAGTCTTTTAAAATTGTATTTAAATAATTAAAAATTTACTATGATATTGTATTTTCCCTTCTGTCTCTAATTTAGTGTTCTTCGATTTCTCTCTTTTGCTATTGTTATTCATATAAAGAAATGAGAAAGCAATTGTATTTAGAACTGGTAAACCTCTACATTTCCTATTTTAAAGTAACTTCTTTTTATGACAAAATCAAAAAACATATTTAGTATGTTTAGAGAATTGTATTGGTCAATTGAGTATACTTTTGAACTGGAAGTTTCCGTGTGGAGCAGCTCAGCTCACAGTAACATTTCAACCGCATGTAAATGTGATGCTGTGATTTATCCATTAATGGTTTGTTATGCTCGATTCATTGCATGATATGAGTTTAAGAACGTTGATACGGGTGCTTGGGGGGTTAGAAAGTAAAATTAGCTCAGCCAAAGGAAACTGACACTACGGAGGCCTGAGTCCTCCACTCCTGTCCCTCATGGACATGGCGGTGTTCTCTGCGTGTCATATTACAGGGGACACCGCCACTGTAGTTTCATGCAAGCTTTACTGTTCTGGACATGCTGAATGTGCTGCTGCTTGAAGTTGACAAAGGAAATGAAATATATTGGAGAATAACCATAACTCTGGCTTCAAAGAGCGGGGACAACGGTGACTGTTTTCCAAGTGCGCAGCTTTGAGCACAGGAATATTTGTAATCTATTTACAGCAGCCGCTGAGTAAGACGAACTGCTCCCAACGAGACATGATCCCAACACGAAGCTGTACTAGCCAAGACCGATTATTACTTTAAAACAACACCAACATATTTCGATTATCAACATGGATCGTGCTGTGAAAGGGAAATATGAGGGGGCAGAGCCAGAGATGGGGGAATTGCAGGACGTGGGACCAGGAATGATCGATATCGACGACGAAGAAGAAATTGAGGACCTTCATAAAAGGTAGTTTGACACAGGCGCAAATAGTTATAAAATGTGGGATTAATGATGTTTTCTCGTAGATCTTTTTAAATATGAATGTTATTTCATCATTGTCACCACCTAATTTGGGTGATTGACACCCAAATATTTTGAACAAAAAGTTGCACTTCTTTTTTTTTTTTTGCATGCATCTACGGTTATTTATTTTTTGTATACCATTTAAGTAGCCGCAAAAAAGTTTCCAAACTTTATATATAAAAGCTCTCATGCTTCTACTAACTGTTTTTAACTTCAAACATTAACTGATATTTTTAAGGGATAGTTCACCCAAACATTTTAATTCTGTCATCATTTAATCACCCTCAAGTAGTTGTTCTAAACCTGTATGAATTTGTCTTCTGCTGAACACTACTACTATGGAAGTCAATGAGACCCAAACTGTGTAGTTACCGACATTATTCAAAACATCTTTTGTGTTCAGCAGAATAAATAAATTCATACAAGTTTAGAGCAACGTGAGGGTGAGTAAATGATGACAGATTTTTAATATTTGTGTGAATTATCCCTTTAACTTCCAAACATCATTAGTTAAGCACTAAACACAATGTTACAATATCTGCCATTTACTGCTGTATTCTATACTACATTGCTTTGTTGAACCATACCTGTTTCTAAACTATTTTTGGTTAGTTTAAAGGAAGTCATGCAGGATCCATCAGTGAAGCCCAAACTCCAGTGTCTGATGGTTGACCCATCCTTCTCTATGGTGACGGTGCAGAGTGAGGACAGTGGGATAGTATGGGAGACGGCTTCCAGTAGATGCTCAACTCCATGGGCTTCAGAAGGAAGCTCTCCATCTGAACAATACAGCATGGAAGGTTCCGGAACACAGGGTAATATTGTGATCATAATGGATGAAGACAGAATAAAGAGGAAAAAAACAAGCAGCAGAGGCAAGCTGGGTGACCGGTTTAAAAAGCCAAGCTCCAGACTGCCAAAAAGTCTGATAGGTGAGGAAAGACCTGCAATGATTGAGGTGTCAGTGCCGAATATCAGGTCTGAAAGCAATGAGGATGGAACGCCTGCTGGAAGCAAGGATCAAGATCTTTTTAGTTTGATATCAGATGGCTTTGAAATACTCAATATTGTTGTACCGTCAAAGCTTGCTACAGTAGATGAGGAAGATAGCACTACACTGGTGGAGAATTTAGCCTACTTGGATGATACCCCAAAGATAAAATCCAAACATAAGCATGAACCTGTAGCTACAATCAGTTGTCCTGTGAAGATAGACATTGAGGAAATAAAGCAAAATGAAAGCTTGAAGGATTCATCCCAGAACTTTGCTGACAAACAGCCCAAAAAGGAAGAAACTCAAATGGACTACCTTGAAAAATTCACACTGTTAGATGAGCAGGCACCTAGTGATGGCACTACACTGATGGAAAAACTTGAATCAGAAGTGACTGTCCATCCGGAGGAACCTCAAGAGAACCTCAAAGAACCAAAAGTAGAAGAAGCTGTTGATGATGATTCCTTTGTATTCATCAGTGATGTTGAAATTGCAGGTGAGCATCTTGATGAAGTGTTTTATGGAAATAAGTTGAATGCAGAGCCTCCCCAAGAATGTGAGGACAGAGTTACAAGTACAGCAAAAGAGAGCTCTAAATCTCTTAAAGAGAGTGGATCAGTCCTATTTGGAAGTCAGGAATGTATCCTCACACCTGTATACCTCCCTACCGGACCACCAAAGATCATAGATCTTGTCCTTCTTGAGGAACCACGAGCAATGTCCTTTCATTACTCAGACCTTTATGAGGACACAGTAGGAGACCGGAAGAAAGAAGACGACTTCTCAGATACGGAGAGTGTTATTTCAGAACGGTCTTTCAAAAGAAGATACTCTGATTCTGATGATCCGGATGGATATCTGGAGAAATTCATATTGAAGGATGAAACACCAGTGGTTGCTAATGTACCTGAGGCCAAAGAAAAGGAAGATGGGGGGAAATTAGCATGGTCACAAAGTAAATTTGAACTCACTGGATGTTTAGAAAAAGCACAAGAAGAACTAGAAGAAGAAGTAACTGTCGATCAACCATGTGTGCAAGATAAAATTGAAGGTGAAGGACAGTGTGAGTCCACAGAGGGTTGTTCAGGGGGACACTGTGCTCCAGAAATCCAACAAGAGGTGGAAATTATCATGACAGGAACGGTCACGTCAGATGACCTGGTTGCCAAGCATAGTAGGGAAAATGAAGGCATCAAGGATAGTATCACAACTAAAAGTGACCTCAATGACACACAACCTCAAATGGATCAAGTCCTTGAGCCAGAATGCAAAACCACCAGTGAAGGAGATTGCAGTCGACAGGAACAAATAAGTCTGACTGCTCATATTCAAGTGCCTGGGGGGTTTGCGCATGAAGACGTTATTAAAACTAAAGATAAAATTATGCCTGTAACACAGAGCTCTGAGAAAATTCAGTCCGATGTACCACATGCTGTCGAAAACATTAGTGTTTCTGAGGGCAGTGTGGATCGACGTCATGAAGTAGCTGATGCCATTGCTGACGTTAGCGAAACAAGTACTATTACTAAAAATGACGAAGGAGAGAATAATAAAACCGAGACACAAGGCGAAATTTTAGAGCAAAATCTTACCTCAAGGGTTGATAAAGGCACTACTGAAATATTAAAAAGAGAAGAACCAGAAATTATTGCTCAGAGGGTTGTCATTCTCAAAGAACCCCTGTCAGGTAAAACAGAACCTCCAAAAACTGAAGAACCTTCAAAAGTAGAGAAAGGTCAAGTCAAGTCTTTAGGAGAGGCTGAAACAATTACAACAGATGCTACTGAAGTTAAACTTTCTGCAAAATCTTTAGAAAATGACTCTCAAGTCCATGAAAATGGAGAAATGCTTGCTGTGGTTGAGAATAGAGTGAGTGAAGGATTAATTCCCAAAAAGGAAAAACAAGAGCAGGTAATTGCCAAAATTGGTGCAGCGCAAGAGGTTGAGGCTCATATCGATACATCAGATGTGTTAACAGAAATCGAAGTAAAGCCAGAGTCTAAATTTACTTCTGTTCAGAGCTCATTAGAGCAGTCACATCCAAGTGAAACGGATACAGCAAACATTGAGCTTCAGACTAAATCTGATATTACAAGCGAGGAGAAAATGTATCCAGAATTACACAATGAATTCATTGCAACAAACAAGAAAGCCAAAGAGGGCACAGATACAGATAGGCCAACCAATGAAGCACCAATGCTGGAAACGCAAAAAGAACATGTTGACATACCAAAGATTGAAGAACCTGTGGTTACAGAAAAACATGAAAAAGTTGAGGAAATCAAGGTGGATCTTACAGAGGAAGCAAATGAGAGGGTTGACACTACAAATGAGCCTGTTCAGGACGAGATACCTTCTGAGAAAAGATTGACAATGGAGATGAATCAAATGATTAATTCGAGACAAGAATATAGCATACTGTTAGCTAACGACATGGAGGCATTTGCTCGTGAAGGCACGGAAGAGATAAAGGTAACAGACAACGTAGAGGACTTATCAAAAGTAAGACTGCCAGCTGTTGTACCAATAAAGGACGAACAGGTTGAAGAATATAGTGAAATAAATGACGTGACCATATTAACCGGAGAGATTCCAGTGAAAGAATCAGCCACTAGCTGGACAGATATTGAGAATAAGATGTTACCCCTAACATCAACAAAAACATTAGAGGAAGGAAAGAAAACACAGATTGAAGATATAACAGACCTACCAGAGCCCATTTCGCCTCCTCCAGTTGATGAAGATGATCCCTCAGCAATGAGAGTCTCACCTTTAGAGCCAGAAGATAGTGATAAAATGTATGAAGATATAAGTAGGGATAAAGGTATTTTCGCACAATTGCGAAGTTTTACGCCTCAAGAGGACCTGTCGACCTTGAGCTGTGAACCAAATGTGCAGCAGGAAATGGCAGAGGAACTTGGTTTCGAGATGGTCACCGAACAAGAGACAAGACAGTCTGAACAAGCTCTAGCTGAGGATGGGCATTGTGAACAAGTTCGACTGTCAGATCAAACTCTGGAAAAAGGCTTTGAATTTGTTGAGGATTTGGATAGTGCACAAATGGCGGAATATGAACTTCAAGAGGAACTTGAAATTCAACCAATGGATGCGTTCTGCCTTGTTTGCCGTTGTCCAGTACTGCTGAGTGAGGCTGAGCATCAAAACCATGAGATGGCCTCTTTGGAAGAGGCCTATGACAGTGTTAAGGTACGTTAAGCTCCCTGTGCTTTGAAAGAGTGCCAAGACATGAGTGCTTGTGCTTGACATCTGATCTTTCACTGCTGGCCTGTTTTGAGAGCTTGTCACTAATTACTCAAGTGTTTACAGAAGGTCTCATCCAGTGTCTAATAAAAACACATAATCAGAATATTCACTTCCCAAGAATATGAGTATAAATCATGTTGAGACAATGAGAGATTGTTTACTTTATTGGCCTTTGACAGCATTCATAGCAGATGAGTCAGAACCGACTGACTCATAACAAGAGCTGGAAGTTGACAGCTGTTTCCATGATTCATCTGTAGTTTATTCCAGTACTGCACCAATGTGATTTGATATTTGCAAGTAGGAAAAATCCAAAGGAGAAAATAAAATAATGTACGTATGAAAGAAATTTTTGTTGTTGTGCTCAACCGTTTGCATTGTGTTCTGCACCTCAACATATTTCATGTTGTCTGTCTAATGTAACTTTTGATGTGATTTTTTTCAGAATCAGCTAAGTGAACTGATATCAGTTTTACAAGGAAGATCAGAGAATATTGAAGACTTTGTATCTGAGCTTGAACTGGCATACAACACAGTGGAGGTATTTGCATTATTTTGCATTCATTTACACATACAAAACATATCCTGTACCAATTGTTGTTTTAGCTCAGTAGACTATATATTACAACCGATCCCATAGACTAATTTGGGTCAATGACATGACATGACATGCATATTTTTGTGTCCAAGTGCATTATTTCCTTATAAATAATGTTATAAATGCATGACATATGTTACTTTATTCTAAAAACCTATTTAGTTTGTATTCATTTTTAGTACATTATAAAATATTATTATTTATGTTTTGGTTTCTTAAACCCCTAAATGTCTCGCAAACATCTGCACAAATGAACAGAAAATAAGAAATTTCAAAATAAAATTCTATGACATAATCTAATGTTTGAAACCTTTCATGTAAACACATTTTTATAAATAACAATAGATTTAAGCTGTTAATATAATTGAAAAAACTTTTGTCCAGCAATTTTTTCATTATCAAATGTCACAACTGCAAACATGGCTCTTTTATTATGAATTGACAAGGTAATAACAGTAAACATGATAATGCATCATCTAGAGGAGACCAACCGATCCCTGTGGCAGAGTGAAAAGGTTTGTAGATGTCTCTCAAATACTGATGAAAATAGCTACTTTAAAATATGGGTAGGTTGGTACACTTTCCATGTTAGTTGGTACAACCAATGTTAAACTTTAAAAATGCTTTTTTATCATAAACTTTATTGTATTTAAAATTTATAAACTGTTTATGAACTTGCTAGCATAGGCAAATTAATATTTATATATATATAATATAAAGAAAAATTGGTCACAAAATTGTGTCCTTAACTACTATGTACTCACCCAAAAAAAATCGTTAGGTATGATGCACTTGTTAATGTTGTTTTGCAAAACACTTACAATTGTCAACTGACTTAAGCTGATGATTTTTTTTTGTATCAATATAAAACATAATAACTTTGTTGTTATTCAGTCACAATCGATTACAGTGTATCTACAGTAACCAATATATTGCACTGTAGCTTATTCCAGTCCCCATGTTCCGAATGTGATGACGTGATTTATTCTGATTTTGCTCGATTTTCTACTTTTACTTCAATATAGACTTATGACTAAAACAATTTTTTTTTTATTTGTTACGTGTAATTGAAATGAAAAAATGTTTTATCCCTGTCAATTTAATGTTGTCAGGTGACATAATTTTTGTTCATCAGGTGGTACAACCATGTAAATTCAAAACTAACTAATAATGCTGTAGGTCAAAGTGAACAAATGGCTGAAAACTCGATTGTGAATAGTATTTAATGCATTTACCGGTAAACTTATATGATTATTTTTCTGTCTTTAAAAGTAAAATTGAATGCTAAAGATACTAAATACCTACCATATTACCATATTAATATGAATAAAAACAAACACAAAATAGTAATGATTTAGGCACTTCAGACACTTTAGACAAATATTTGGTTGTACCACCTGGGGAAAAAAAATCCAAAAATGAATTTTAACACATTGAAATGTTATTTAGTAAATGAAACGTATTGTTCCTGACTCAAAAATAGATACATTTTGCATGAATAAGCATTATATCAAAATACCTATAAAAACAAAGTCAAATCTAGAGACCAAAATATGATACACATCAGGTCAAAATGGTTGTGACTGCCCTAGAAAATGAGTAGCAATGTCCTGGCAACCACCCACAAAATCTGAGCATCATGAAGGTGAATTTTGCACTCCCAAAAATCGAGAGTGAGAGTTTTGTAGTGCTTACGTTAGTGCACTGTCAGCTTGGGGATGCTATTAAAGTGAGAAATGTTACTGAGAACTAATGTTATTGTGCTGCTCCCGCAGGAGAACTTTAATGATTGTGAGAAGATCATAAATGAGCACAATGAGGAGGTGGTGAAACTGGTGATGGATCAGTATAATGAGATGTCTCAGGCCATGGAGGAGGAGAAAAAGGCCAAACTGGAGCAGCTGTACGACCAGATTGTGTCGTTCCAGGAGAATATCGACAAGGCCAAGGAGACTATGGAGATGACGGCTAAGGAGGAGGAAGAGACGGATCCACTCAAGTTTCTTTCTGTGAGGCTTTCCTCATTTGTGTGTTAGTTACTCGATTAGTATTAATGTATTGATTTTGTCCAAAGCCATAGTTGCTTTGGAAGCATTTTTAAAGTGCTTAGCTAAGATTTGTTAAGAGAGATGAACTATCTAGAATGGATATTTTAGTCTAATCAAGCTATTTTTCACCCCTTTTCAGTCATCAAAAGATATCAATATGAGGTAACTGAATGGCTTGAATTTATGTTGCATCCAGTGACTTTCCTAACATCAAATGCTAATTACAATACTTCAAAAATGATCTGCATATTAAATTAATCCGAATAGAAGCTTGATGAAGTTTGTTTTAGTTGCCTTGTTGAGTTTGCTATGTTCAAAACAATGTTTAGATCAAGTGTTTGTAGCCATTAAATGAATAGAAATTAAATAATTTACCGCATGGGGTTTTTACACATCATGAAAATAATGTGATGAGCTGTTTTCTTCCAGTCTCCTTCCAGTGACCTTTCCATTTTTTTTTTAAATTAGGTTGAATACAGCTTTGGAATCCACCATGTCACTTGAACTTGGTCCACGAGGGCTGCTGGTTTTTGAGGACTATGCCAAGGGCAAATCAGGCAATGAGAGGAAAAACAGACAAGCCATTCCAGGTGCGCCTCAGCTAAGATTTCCATTGCAGATAAACACCCCTTACGTTTTGCTGACTTGAATTATTACTCATTTTGTAGTTCCTCAACAACCACATCTCCAGCCTCAAGAGGCCAATTCTGCAACCAGCACTTCCGTCACTGTGTATTGGAGAGTCAACGAGGATGACATTATCGACTGCTTCCAAGTATACTGCATGGAAGAGCCACAAGGAGGTAAGACTAGAGGGGAGAGAAGGGTTTGAATATCTGACAGATAATACACTACAGATCAAAAGTCTCTAATGTTTTTATCAATATGCTACAAGATTATTTTATTCAAATCAATGTGATAAATGAGTTAGCTCACAAGTAGTCAGAAAGTAATCCGATTATATTACCTAACATGTGTAATGTAGTAGATTATGTTACTAACTACAGTTCTCATCATGTAATTTGTATTCAGTAATGGATTAAAGTTTATAAGTAGTCTACCCAGCACTCTATATATTATAGAATGGCATATATTCTTAATTACCATGAATATATGAATAATTATATTACTATGTTACTATTATCAGTATAAAATATCCTTTTGTGGGTTAAATGCTTAAATTGTCACCAAATCTATATTACTTACTTTCTTCTGTGGAACATAAAAGATATTTTTTAAAAAGTCAATGGGTCCAATGTAGTTTTGGACCACACTGACTTTCATTTTTTCATTTCATTGACTTTCAACTATCCCTTTAACATTCACAGAATTTTATTTTCAATCTGGCAGTACTACAAACTCTTATTAGTATGTAAAAGTATGTCAGAGGGATGCTCAGATGAGTTAAAGTGTGTTAAATGTAATCTTATCTGCAGCTATCTCAGAGGAGTACAGGGTGACTGTGAAGGAGAGCTACTGTAATCTAGAAGAGCTGGACCCGAATAAGTGTTATAAAGTGTGGGTGATGGCGGTGAACTACACAGGCTGCAGCATGCCGAGTGAGAGACTGCCCTTCAGAACCGGTTAGTTACTATGTGCAAATCCCTTCTGACTTGCATGATGTTTGTGAGAGCAAGAGATCGTGCTGTGTGGCATAATATATCAATACATAATGAGATGAGACCATGTAAAGCCTCTTTACTAGATCTCTGACATGGAATGTGAATTCCAAAGTGTATGTGTTTTCAATCCAGATTGAATATGGAGTGCTCACATTCAGTAAAACAAACTTGTGATTATCTTTTAGTCAGTGTTTGAAAAGTAACTGAGCTCATCGTTTTCTCACTAGCCCCCTCTGTCCCGGTGATCCAGACAGAACAGTGCACAGTGCTGTGGGACACGGCCACGCTGCGTTGGAGCTCAGTTCAGCCCAGTGCTGTAGACTGCTTCACACTGGAGTATTGCCGCCAGTATGCATGCGAGAGAGAGGGACTCAGGTACAGTTACCCAGCCCCCTGTGTACAAGCAGAAACAGCACAAGGGGTCAAGAGAAAACCATCTTTATTCATGTGTTGTTAAATAGTGTTATGGTAATAGTGTTGTGATTGGTCCACTTTCATCTGGTTTTGGAAATGTCACACCCCTTACCATAACTATGGCTGAATTCGATAAACCCTCATTCACTATTACCTACATTAGCCCTCTAATACTGTTCACTTGAACGAGTGAATGAAAAGGAGTGAGCGAATTTGGACAGCCGTTGAGCGAACATCGGTTGTACACTCATTATTGCAGAGCAATCTGGGATTGAATAAGAGCACTTAATAACGCCCACTATGGTTTCAGACACCACTATAAATGACTGTTCCCTCAAATAACGCCTTATTTGAGGGTATACGGGCGATTTCAGATTAAAGGAGAACTCCGGCGCAAAATGAACCTTTGGTCTAATAAAACATTGGTACCTAGTCAACGGTTCTGTGAGATTTGTTTTCATGATAATCGAATGTAAAGAGTTTTATCTCTAAAAACTGTTTAGCGTATAACGCTAGTAATGGGGGCATTTACTAGGTAAAAAAAAATCGCTAGTTTATACCACTAACAAGGCTCAAAATAGCCCCACACTAACACAGTAACATAATGAGGCTCCCTACATGCAAGCCGAAGCACTGAGAACTGTGTAAGTGTACAGACCGTTTAATAAGAAGATACTTTATGAAGACAGTTCACTTCGTGTATAAAGGCAGGAGCCATCTTGGAAAACAGTCTCGACAAGTCGAACCACAAACGCCGATAATTCAGTTCAGAAATTCACTTCATACAGTTCAGCTCACTTAGCACGTAGTTCGTGGTTCGACTAGTCAAGACTGTTTTCCAAACTCCTGTCTGTAAACGCGAAGTGAACTGTCTTTATAACTTATCTTCTTATTAAACAGTCTGTACACTTACAAAGTTCTCAATGCTTCGGTTTGCATGTATGGACCTCATTATGTTACTGTGTTAGTAACATAATGAGGGTCCACACAATCTGTATACCACTGTTTTCACTGTCCAAAAAACGGGCCGATGGCTTCCTTGTTCTATGAAGTCCCTCCTTCAGAAATACGTAACGACTTCTGATTGTGCTAGCGGTTCCTGTGTTGTGATTTGACAGCAGCTTTATTGCACGTTGGCCAGAAAGGTCACGCCTGTTACCATAAATCGACGGAGATGCGTGTGCTGATTATTATTGTGAAAATGTCAAACATATTACCATATCAATTTGATCCTGAATCAGACCCGGAGAACATAGAACCTGTTCAAACACGACTTTTGCAGGATGTTTCACAGTGGTAAGCTGTTTATTTAGTAGTTGTCGTACTTTTAATTGATTAAATTGTTATGTTAATTGTTACAAACTGTTATAAAAGCTTGTGGTAATTATTCTTTTTTTATCTGTCGAATTAACGATGGTGTTGCTGAATTTTTAAAATAAGTCCATTGTTTATTCCTACCTTAGTTACACGTGTACATGAGTTTAGAATAGTAATATGTGTTTTATAGGTATTCCTATGGGCGAATATTAGTCAAAAAACTGTTCTAATTATGTCATTACTGAAGGAAGTAGCGGGATGTAGTCCAAACCGGACGTTCCCTGTAGGCTTTGAAAGGGGACTTCTGTTAAATAAAGTATCTCGCTAGGCATTGAACTTTGAGCTTTATAATTTTACAGGTAGTGTTTATGCTCTAACAGCAACATTACACACTAACTAAAGTTTGAAAAATGGAATCGTGAAGAACGGGACCTTAAAAGGAGTGATATTATGATGTATATTTCTGGATGAAACCCCAAGACTGCAATCGAGGCGTTTTAGAGAATTCAGAAACCGTGCTTACTGGTGTAGAAAAGAACTCCCTTTGGAGTGGACTTTGTAACTTTGCAGACTGTTTTTATGCTCAAACAGCAATAAACAGAGAGTAAATAAAGTTGAAAATGTAAAAAAAGCTTAATAAGACTTTAGGCTTTAATCAAAAACATTACCCACCCACCCCCACCCCCAAACCGAGGAAATACAACCACCCAATCAATTCCCACCCTACATTTTTTGTTTCTTGTTTGAGCCGCCATTTATTTCAGATATTGTCACATTAGGGAAGAAAAATTGGTCACAATTTCCAGTTTATTCTGACTTTATTGGTGAAACGTATATTTAAATTTTTTTTACACCAAACGTCTCCTCTATGGTATTAAATATACTCATTAATTGCCATCACTTAATGTTAATATTTAATGTAGCATATTTCACTAAGAGCTTGTACACTGAATCCATTGAACACAGTTCCCCATGAGTCCTCAAGGGTGCACATCAGAGCATTACAGAGGGTAACACTGCACTTATTAAAAACAGTCTCTCTATACACAGGTCCATATCAGGGATAAAAGGCTATGAGCAGAGGGTCCTCCTTCAGCCCAATGAAAATTACCTCTTCTACATCAAATCAGTGAATGCAGGAGGAGCCAGTGAGCAGAGCGAGGCGGCCCTTATCTCAACCAGAGGTCAGATTCACCGTTATTACATCATCAGTCTGACACATTTGCCTGTTGTTCGGCGAGTATTGATGGATGAAATCCAGTCATTGCAATAGGAATCCATGCAAGTTTTGTGTGAGGCTGAAAGATTTCCCGATTTTTAAAGTTGGTCAGATGAATCCACTGTGTTGATCGACAGAAAGCTGCTTGGTTTGACAGGAGCCGTGTTTCATCCATGACAATGGATGACTTTTTCTTGCCCATGAAAATTCACTAATCTGACAAACACCTTTAGTTAGTTTGACAGCATCACAATTATAGCAAATTTCTTGCATTTTATTTGTGATGTTGTTGTTTTTTGACTAGTGGATGTTGTTATTTGTCAAGGTACAAGGTTCCGCTTCCTCAGTGAAACGGCCAACTCAGTGCTGGAGGTTTCAGAGGACAGGAACTCGGTAGAATACCCACAAGACACCTACAGTAAAATGTCCTCAGTCATAGAGTAAGTACCTCAGTGCAATCTTTATCACCATTACAAATCTACCACTGTAGATACATAGTTTTATCCAGAAAAAAACATCCATTTATTGTTAAATTGCACAACATATGCTGTGCAGCTTTGTAAACCAGCACACATTGTTTTACAGATGTCTTAAGTTGCAGAAAATGCATGTTCTCTTATTTTTGTACTTGTTCCTAGATGTCCAGCTGTTATGGGTGAACTTTTGCCTTCTCTTGGATATTACTACTGGGAGACAGAGGTGTCAAGGTGCAAAGCTTACCGCATCGGTGTCGCATATCAAACTGCATCACTGTCCAGCACACTGGGGGAGAACAGGGCCTCCTGGTGTCTGCACTGTGTACCTACATCTATAAGGTAGACCATTCATGTGATGTAGTTGCATGTATTTGTTCATGTGTTTCATTACCACAAAAGGATTAGATTCAAAGGTCATGGAATATCTTTTTGAACAGTAACATTTAAAGGTCTTTCCAGCTGGAAAAAAGTTTAAATAAACAAGCTGGTAAGACATTTGGAGCTGCATTCCAAACTGTGGAAACACTGTTATTAAGGCTTTTTGGCAATCAGGGTGGTACATTCACTTGAGCCTTCAAAAAGATTTAAAAAAAAATCTCATTAAATCGGTTCTCTCATTAAAAAAGTTCTCTGTCTTCCATTAAAAGAACTCGTGTCGTCCCAAGCCTTTAAAGGGTTAGTTCACCCAAAATGAAAATTAAGTCATTAATTACTCACCCCCATGCTGTACCAACCCCGTAAGACCTTCGTTCGTCTTCGGAACACAAATGAAGATATTTTTGATTAAATTTGAGAGCTGTATAACTACCACATTGGCTCCTAAGGGACTGCCTCTTGACGGCCCAGAAAGTCAATGAAGAAAATGTTTAAATATCCCAAGTGACTACCGTGGCTCAACTATATGTTTATCAAGCGACGCAAATACTTTTTGTGCGAAAAAACAAACAAAAATAACGAGTTTATTCGACTATTTCTTTTCTTCCTTGTAGGCCAGAACGAGAATTCCTTAGATTTCCACGACGCATGCGCGAGATTTGCGATCTGCTTACGCCAGCTTACACTACTTCAGATCGCAATTCTCGCGCATGCGTCGTGGAAATCTATAAGGAAGTCTCGTTCTGGCCTACAAGGAAGAAAAGAAATAGTCGAATAAACTCGTTATTTTTGTTTGTTTTTTCGCACAAAAAGTATTTGCGTCGCTTGATAAACATATAGTTGAGCCACGGTAGTCACTTGGGATATTTAAACATTTTCTTCATTGACTTTCTGGGCCGTCAAGAGGCAGTCCCTTAGGAGCCAATGTGGTAGTTATACAGCTCTCAAATTTAATCAAAAATATCTTTATTTGTGTTCCGAAGACGAACGAAGGTCTTACGGGGTTGGTACAGCATGGGGGTGAGTAATTAATGACTTAATTTTCATTTTTGGGTGAACTAACCCTTTAAGACCTCCGTTCATCTTCAAGACACAGTTTAAGATATTTTAGATTTAGTCAGACAGATTCTGTCTCTCCATTGAAAATGTATGTACGGTATACTGTCCTTGTCCAGAAAGGAAATAAAGACATCATCAAAGTAGTCCATGTTTTGAAGCTTCAAAAATACATTTTGGTCCAAAAACAACAAAAACTACAACTTTATTCAGCATTGTATTCTCTTCCGGTTCTGTTGTCAATCCGCATTGACAAGTCCGCAGTGACGCTGATGACGTAAGACGCTGCTGGCATGTATCTGGTGTGTCTGTTCGGGTTCAAATAAATGGCTGGGCAAAAAAAAAAAATGCAGGTCTTCTTCTCTGTCAAAATCCTGAGACGTGTTTGCAAAGATTGTTTTGTTTACAGCGTGCGTCTCCCTCAGACTGTAAACGAAGCTCGGGCGCACCAGATACACATCAGCAGTGTCACGGATTGACAACAGAACCGGAAGACAAAACAATGCTGAATAAAGTCGCAGTTTTTGTTATTTTTTGACCAAAATCTACTTTCGATGCTTCAAAAAATTTTTACTAACCCACTGATGTCACATGGACTATTTTGACTTTGTCTTTATTTCCTTTCTGGACAAGGACAGTATATCGTACATACATTTTTAATGGAGGGACAGAATGCACTGTTTGCACATCAGCAACTACGGTCCTGTAAGATCCCAGCCATTGGGAGTACATCTGCACAAAATGTGAGCGCAATAGATGCTTTTCAATGAAACCAAGTTTTTTAAATTAATGTTTTTTTTTTTTTTATTGACAACACTGTAAAGTGTTGAACTTTAAAGGTAAAATAAGTCATTTTCCCCAAAAGTATCTGTACATCTGAGATAAAGACTGCAGCCATTTTCATGGTCAAGAAAAAAAGCTATTTTATTCTACATAACTCGTGAGGTCACATGATCAATTGAATATCGGTAGTGTGCCCATTATCACTTTTGGTTCTGGAATAAATGGATGAAAAAAAAAAAAAAAAAAAAAAAATATATATATATATATATATATATATAGCATATATACACCATTCAAAATTGATTTTTTTGTTTTTGAAAGAGGTCTCTCAAGGCTGCATTTATTTGATCAAAAATACAGTACAAACTGTTGTGTTGTGTTACTGTCATTTATTTCTGTGATGGCAAAACTGAATTTTCAGCATCATTACTCCAGTCTTCACTGTCAAATAATCCTTCAGAAATCATTCTAATACTGTGTGCTGATTTGATCAATGATGCAATTTTTTTTTTTTCAGGATTCTTCAAAGAGTAGAAAGTTCATTATTTGATATATTGAATGTGTTGTATTAACCCATCTTCTCTCCAGCTGCAGATTTGAACTACTCCATGACCGTGTGGAGTCTGACATCTTTGTTGTGGACATTCCAGCCCGGATCGGCACTCTGTTGGACTATAGTCAGGGTCGGCTCTTCTTCTTCAATGCTCAGAACGGGCAGCTCTTGGGCACTTTTCAGCACACCTTCACAGAGCCCTGCCACCCTGTGTTTGTCCTGGAGCAGCCGGGGAATCTAGAGCTGAAGATGACCATGGAGGTGCCGGAGTTTGTTAAGCACTGCTAGTTTACATGACTCAAGTCTCAGTGCTCTGGGTTTGGTTGTATGACAGGAAATGAATCAAGTGAATCTTTCTTAATAGGAAATGAAAACATATTGTGCTGTCATGTGAAAAGTTGCTCAGTTTATTGACATGGTGTGACTAAAGAGATTATGAAAAATGTTACAATTGTGAAAGGAAGGACCGTTTTCGAAGCTGTGCTTTTAAATCCCTCCGGAAACTAGTTTTGTGGAGCTGTTGTTTTTGTATATATATTAAACAGAAAGTGCATGCGACCAGTTTTGTTGCTTGTCATAAATGATGCACCTCTGGATCACATGATGTGCAGACATTTATATTTAGTGTCAGTGTATTTATTTTGGAAGCTACAGGCTTTCAGGTTGTTTGAATAAAACTGATTTTGGCAAGGTTAATAATAGACTTTCATAGCTGAATTCTCCTCGATATATTTCTGTGGCTTAGTTTATTTTCATGATTTGGTAGGAAAAGGTCATTTCCCTTCACTTTCTATTTAAAATTGTTGCTGGATCTCACTTAATCAAAAACTATTAAAGGTAAATGTGCTGTAAAGTGAATAGAATGATTTTAGTTTTCACTTACAATGGATCGTTTGAGTAAGGGTGTATTTTTAACTTATTTATTGTCATTTTTCACTCTGAAAGCTCCACTATCAAGTCAAAATCAACTCTTGCACAAGAGAAAATAAATTGTAGCCATATTTGTTATCTTTAATTGGATTGCACTTTGTTTGGTATCCATTTTGTAAATGATTCTTTCAATTGTTTCAATTTCAGTGCTCTGTTGTTGAATAAGTTAGTAGTGGTATAAATTAGTCTACTTGTATATTTACTGTATTTGTATTTCTGAGAACAACTGGATTGGTTTAAAAGTTTTACCATTAGAAATGTTTTAATGAACAAAGAATATACTGTATGTCATTCAATACCGTTCAAAAGTTTGTTGTCTGTAAGATTTTTTTTGATGTTTTTGAAATGTCTCTTATGTTGAACTTATTTGATCAAAGTTACAGCAAAATCTATAATATTGTCAATTATCCTTACAATTTAAAATAACCGTTTTCTATTTAAATATATATATTAAAATGGCAAAGCAGTCATTACTTACCAGTCTTCAATGTCACATGATCCTTCAGAAATCATTTTAATATGTTGATTTGCTGCTCAAGAAACATTTACAGTGCCTTGCGAAAGTATTCGGCCCCCTTGAAATTTTTGACCTTTTGCCACATTTCAGGCTGCAAACATAAAGATATAAAACTTTAATTTTTTGTGAAGAATCAACAACCGGTGGGACACAATCATGAAGTGGAACGAAATTTATTGGATATTTCAAACTTTTTTAACAAATAAAAAACTGAAAACTTGGGCGAGCAAATTATTCAGCCCCCTTAAGTTAATACTTTGTAGCGCCACCTTTTGCTGCGATACAGCTGTAAGTCGCTTGGGGTATGTCTCAATCAGTTTTGCACATCGAGAGACTGAAATTTTTGCCCATTCCTCCTTGCAAAACAGTTCGAGCTCAGTGAGGTTGGATGGAGAGCGTTTGTGAACAGCAGTTTTCAGTTCTTTCCACAGATTCTCGATAAAATTAAGGTCTGGACTTTGACTTGGCCATTCTAACACCTGGATATGTTTATTTGTGAACCATTCCATTGTAGATTTTGCTTTATGTTTTGGATCATTGTCTTGTTGGAAGACAAATCTCCGTCCCAGTCTCAGGTCTTTTGCAGACTCCATCAGGTTTTCTTTCCAGAATGGTCCTGTATTTGGCTCCATCCATCTTCCCATCAATTTGAACCATTTTCCCTGTCCCTGCTGAAGAAAAGCAGGCCCAAACCATGATGCTGACACCACCATGTTTGACAGTGTGGATGGTGTGTTCAGGGTGATGAGCTGTGTTGCTTTTACGCCAAACATAACGTTTTGCATTGTTGCCAAAAAGTTCGAGCACCTTCTTCCACATGTTTGGTGTGTCTCCCAGGTGGCTTGTGGCAAACTTTAAACGACACTTTTTATGGATCTCTTTAAGAAATGGCATTCTTCTTGCCACTCTTCCATAAAGGCCAGATTTGTGCAGCATACGACCATTGTTGTCCTATGGACAGAGTCTCCCACCTCAGCTGTAGATCTCTGCAGCTCATCCAGAGTGATCATGGGCCTCTTGGCTGCATCTCTGATTAGTCTTCTCCTTGTAATGAGCTGAAAGTTTAGAGGGACGGCCAGGTCTTGGTAGATTTGCAGTGGTCTGATACTCCTTCCATTTCAATATTATTGCTTGCACAGTGCTCCTTGAATGTTTAAAGCTTGGGAAATCTTTCTGTATCCAGATCCAGCTTTAAACTTCTCCCAACAGTATCTCGGACCTGCCTGGTGTGTTCCTTGTTCTTCATGATGCTCTCTGTGCTTTAAACGGACCTCTGAGACTATCACAGAGCAGGTGCATTTATACGGAGACTTTATTACACACAGGATTCTATTTATCATCATTAGTCATTGGTCAACATTCAGGATCATTCAGAGATCCTCACTGAACTTCTGGAGAGAGTTTGCTGCACTGAAAGTAAAGGGGCTGAATAATTTTGCTCACCCAATTTTTCAGTTTTTTATTTGTTAAAAAGTTTGAAAATACCCAATAAATTTCGTTCCACTTCATGATTTTGTCCCA